CCTGCAGTGTCCCAATGGCCACTTGGTTCCATGAGCCACAGCGGCTGCCGCCGGCCTCTGTGCCCGGAGCCGCCGCTCCCACGGCGCTGCCGCACTCACCGCCGGGGTTGCCGCTCGCGCAGCCGCCGCTCTGCCCCGGCTGCACCGGGACCTGGCACCGCCTCGGGCCTGCGCTGCCGCCTCAGCGGCCACAGGGACACAGCCATGGGGGGACCTTTGCTCTGCCACTGCTGGGGCCTGGCTTTGTTCTGATTGGGGCTGGGCTTTAGAAAAATTGCTGTTCATTTTCATGCTCCACTGGAACAGCTCCTGAATTCCAAAGGTTTCCTAATCCAGGGGAGGGGTTTCTATGGCATCGGAGGTGCCGCCCCTCGGGACACATTGTCAATAAACCATCCAGCTGACTGGGATGGGTGTAAGAGCAGTTGGGGAACACAGGATAATCAGTCATCCCTGAAAACCTTGGAAAATTCCCTACCTTACCCGTAACCCAAATGGAACAGTTTGGATACAATTCCCAAATATTTGGGAAACTCCAGTCATTCCTGACACCAGGATGGAAATTCAGCAGATAACTAAAGCCAGTCCCCTTGGGAGCCCACAACCAGTGGGGCTGAGGGAGGCCCTGGCAGCTCCCCAGCACCTCCCTCTCAGTGGGACACCTCTGGCAGCCTCTCCCAGCTCGGGAACCCTCCAGTTTGCAACACTCCAAAGACCCTCGCTGATGCCCAGGACAATTCTGATCCCCCTCCACAAACACTCCTCCAGCTGGGACCCTTGTCTGGTGGCAAACACACAGGGATTTGGGGGAGTGTTTCCCTGACAACAAGGAGAATTTGGGAGAGGGACCTTTCCACACCCAGCTATTGCTGTGTCCACACATCTGTGCCTGGGTGTGGGTGTGAATTGACTGTGGTGGGAATGTTGTAGTTTTGAATCTATAATTCAGTCACTGTTAAAATTCTAGCAAATGCTATTGAATCACCTGATAACTGTTCAATTGGTTAATGATTAAATGCTACTAATTTCTTTTACCTCCTTGTCTTTGGATCCAAATCCTTTGCACCCTGACCCCCTTGCATCCCAAGGCTCTGTGTTAATCATTCCTATTCATCAAAAAATATATATTTTTCACGACTTCCACTTTAAAATCTTCCTCCTTAGCTAAACTGAAAAACAACTCAAGTTACCCGTAGAAGTCTTGAAGAATTGAAGACAATTAAAGGAAGGGAAATAATTTGTTTTTCAGTGTTTTAATTGATCCCACAGTGTGTTTGGAGCTGCATCAGCTGTCAGTCCAAGATGGGCCATGTCAGAACTGGTGAGGTTGGGGGGTGAGGAGCAAGACTGATCATCCAGGGTCAGTGTGGATCTCCTGAGGAGACATTCAGCATCAAGATCACCTGGAGAACACCTCTATCACCTTTCCTCTAAACTAAAAAATATCCATCCTTTAATTTAAACAAAAAAAATACAAATTTTGAAGACTTGTTTTGAAATTGCCTTGAAGACAATTAAAGGAAGACAAAGAAATCCTGAGGGATTTCTGGAATTTAATGAGCCCCACGGTGTGTTTGCAGCCCAGCCCATGATCCTGAGGTACTGAGAGAAGATTGAAGCAGCTGCTGAAGAAGTCAGAAGCCAGTCTCAAAGTGCCTTGAAGCATTGCTGGGCCCCACTGAGGGCAGGCACTGACAAAGCCTCCCCAGGGACTCCTTGGAGCAGCTCCTTGGAGGCCAGGAGTGCAGGCAGACAAAGGCTCTGGGCAGGCCCCTGCAATGCTGAGCAAAGCCTGCCTTGGTTTTGTGGAGCACAAAGGCCAAGGCCTGAGCCCTAGGCCCTGGCCCAGCAGATCCTGTCCCTCTTGGCTGGCTCAGGGCTGTTTGGGGGGCACTGGGATGGGAGGGGGAGGAACAACAAAGGCCCAAAACTGGACAACTTCTACCAGGCTCCTGAGGGAGGGGTGAGGCAGAAACCAAGGGCAGAACCTGCCAGGCAAGTTGCTTGTGGTGGCCTGAGTGGCAGAGGCAGCTGCCAGAGGCAAGGGGACAAAGGCCTGGGTGCCTTTGGGCCTTGCAGCCCTGCCAGAGCCCTTGGCCATCTCTCCTGCAGGCTGTCCTGCCCTGGCCCTGCTGCTGCTCTGACCTTGCAGGCTGCACACACCCCTCCTGCTTTCCCACCCCCCTCCCAGCAGCATTTCTAGACCCTCCTTGATGTCTCTGCACCAGCTCTGGCTTTTCCCTGGAACACAAAGCCATGGGCTGATCCTGACTCCCTCTGGGTGACCTCTTGCAGCACAAGGGTCCCCATTGAGTGATATTTCTTTTTCTTCACCTTCAGTCTAAACTTCAGTGCTACTCTTTGTGGAGATTTCATTCTATTTCTAATACAGAAGAAAAAAGCTTCATCCTGTCAGATCTGCTCTAGACCCTCTCCAGTTCTTCCTCATTCCTCCAGAATGGGGAACCTCCCAGACAGACAGACCAGTCCCGATGTGGTGACCCCAGGGCTGAGTCCAGGGGGGTGACAACTCCCTTATCTGGGTGCCCACACTCCCCCCAAGGCAACCCCATGTGCAGTTGGCCTTAAATCAAGGGACCATTCTGATTCTTTGTAAAGTCTCGGAATCAAGCGGCACCGTGACACTACAGGGCCTCATGGAACCAAAGGAATGCAGGGACACTGTGGAATCTCATGGAACCAAGGGCCCATTGTGACATGCGGGATCACTTTAGAACCAAAGGAACCCTGAGACATCTCAGACCCTCCTGGAATGAAGGGGCCACTGTGCCTCCCAAGAACTCCATGGAATCAAGCAGAGCCGCTGCCTCCCCCCCGCCGCAGCACGGACCGGAGTCGCCGGCTCTGCCCCGCTTGGACACCTCTGGAGTCAGTGTGTTCTTGGGCAGCACAACTGATCTCAGACAAGAGAGTTTCCCAGAGTTTGCTTTGCTCCTTTTTTCCTGTGGTTTTGTTTTTTGTTCTTTGTTCATTCAGGGGGAAAAGGGAGAAGGGAGGCACATGTTGATCCCTGTTTCATCTCCCAACAAAAGGGAGTTGGGGCAGGGGGGAGAGAGGAGGCAATTTCTCTCTCTTCTGTTGCTTTGAATGGTTCTGTTTTTATTGCTGGTTTTGCTGTTATATTTCATGTCAGTAAACTCTTATTGTTTTCACTTATACCTCCTTGTATTTTGTCTCCCTGTATTGGTAGAGAATAAAAGGGGAGTGAGTTCATTTTATTGGAGTTCCCGCCCCAATATGTGTCTTTAAACCAGGACAGGTTGCTCAAGGGCTCCCTGAAATTTGGCATCATCCACAAAGGACTTGAAAATGCATTTTGTCCCATTGTACAGAGAGATAATAAAGATGTTCTCTAGTGGTATTCAAGGACTGATCACTGAGGGACTTTATTAGGAAGTTGCTGCCAAGAGGACTTTGTACCATGGATTGTATTGGACACTCTTCATTCAGTCAACTTTCCACCCACCACATCTTCCACTTTTTCAGTCCTACTCTCACCAATCTGACCATAAGGAGACAACAGGAGACCATGTCAAGGGCCTTGATAAAGTCTGGGCACAAAACATCCCCTTCTTTTCCTTCTCAAAGAGATTCTGCAATCCCTGCCTTGTCCTTCCCATGCCTGGCAATGGCTGCAGCAGGACTTGCCCTATCCCCTTCCCTGCTGAGCCTGAGCAGTCTGGAACTCTGCCAACCCTCCTTGCTGCCCTGTTTGCAGACTGCTTCCATGGCTGCTTTTGCCAAGGCCCCAGGAAGCTCTGGGATGGCTCTGGCCTTTCCAAGGGTTTGGGAGAGGTCTCCCAGTGACACTGCCCAGCCTTCTCAATAGCCCTGACACCAAAACTTTTACTATATCCCACACTTCCAGAGGAGTGCCCAGGACACAACACAGGTTGTCCTGGTGGTTCTGGAGAATGAGAAGGGGTTTCTTCCTTGAGGCCAACCCCTCCAATTGGATTTGAGTGCAGCTGAAAGGTTCCCTCAGCATTTTCCTTGGTGCCTCCCTACCCTCAAGGTTTCTGGCCCTCAGGCTGGAGCTGAGGGGATTGGGCAGGTGCCTGAGGAGGGGGTAGAACAAGGGCTGTGTCCAACTGTGCCAGGAGGGCTGTGCTGGGCGAGGATGAGGAGGTTGCAGAAAACAGTAGCACTGGGGAGGTGAGAGGAGCACTTGGAGAGACCTTGTGCCTGCCAACGCTGGGCAGGAGCTGCCCCAGGATGGCAGCTCTGAAGCACTCCCAGGATGTCCCTCTGAACAGGAGGAGAAGACTGGATCTGAAAATGAAACCTGGAAAGCAGAGAGCAGGAGTGTCATGGTGACACTGCAGGAGAGTTCTAGCCCTGGAGCAAGGTCACAGGAGAAGTGACCCAGTACATGCCCTGCCCTCAGAAGATGCCATAGCATCCTGGAGATGCTGGAAGGGAGCCCAGCTCTGCTTCACAAGTTCCCAGGGCCTGTCCCTGCCTGTGCTCCAAAGGCTTCCAGCCCCCAGGACTGTGCTCAGAGAGCACTCAGGCCTTAACAGCGAGAAAGGAGCTCAGGAGGACAGTGTGGAAGTGGCAAGAGAGCAGCTCTGGACAGACCAAGCACTGCTGCTCCTTGGCAGTGCTGCTGGGCTGGGATTATTGTCCCCTTCCTGTTTGCAAATACACCCTGTCCTGCAGTGTGCTGTCCTTTAGGAACAGCTAAGAAGAAGGGTTGTGGACAAAGAAGGCACTGCAGGGTCCTTTATTTTGTTTAAATAGTCAGAGAGCACAATTCACCATTTATACCTGTCTGGGTCAAATTGAATGGGTAGACACTAAGTTAGAAGGCAGATGCATAATAATGTTTTATTGCACAGAAAATTATTGCAAGAAGAACCCAATGACCTTCACGAAAAACCTGAGTAGGAGGGTTGGGCCATTGGTTGGTCCCATTCTGAATGTTACACACCAGAAAACAGGCACTTTATTGCTCCTGAAAAGCATCCAGTCATCATTTTCCTCATGGCATCCTTGAGCTCCTGGTTCCTCAGGCTGTAGATGAAGGGGTTCAGTGCTGGAGACACCACCATGTACAGAACTGATAGTGCCAGATCCAGGGATGGGGAGGAGATGGAGGAGGGCTTGACGTTTGAAAATATGCCAGTGCTGACAAACAGGGAGACCATGGCCAGGTGAGGGAGGCACGTGGAAAAGGCTTTGTGCCGTCCCTGCTGAGAGGGGATCCTCAGCACAGCCCTGAAGATCTGCACATAAGAGAAAACAATGAAAACAAAACAGCCAAGTCCTAAAGAGATAGTAAACGAGAGAAGCCCAATTTCCCTGTGGTAGCCTGAGTGTGAGCAGGAGAGCTTGAGGATGTGTGGGATTTCACAGAAGAACTGGCCCAGGGCATTGCCCTGGCACAGGGGCAGGGAAAATGTATTGGCTGTGTGCAGCAGAGCAGTGAGAAAGCCAGTGGCCCAGGCAGCTGCTGCCATGTGGGCACAAGCTCTGCTGCCCAGGAGGGTCCCGTAGTGCAGGGGTTTGCAGATGGCAACGTAGCGGTCGTAGCACATGATGGTGAGGAGGGAAAACTCTACTCTAAGAAAGGTTATGTAGACAAAAACCTGTGTAGCACATCCTGTGTAGGTGATGGTTCTGGTGTCTGTCCTAGGTAGAACAGCTGGGACTGACTCATCACTGGATGGGTGTAGCCCAAAGCTGTGTATTCTATAGCCTTCCATGGCATTTCCCAGAAACTGTTATCAGTAGAGGCCTGCGAAATAGGAAGATGTTCCTGTCCTCATACCCTTTTGTGGGATTCCCTGCTCTGAGGGAAGGATTGAGCATCCTCATACCCTTTTATGGAATTCCCCGCTCTGAGGGAAGGACTGAGCATTCCTGCCTGAACTAGAGAATATATAAACTTGGAGTTTCGGAACCTTTTCACCACTTTTGGGATCCAGAGGAGGACTGCAACCACCACTTTTCAACCAGACTGCAACCACCACTCTTGACCAGACTGCAACAGCACTCTCACCAACAGGTTTTTCCCTCTCCTTTTACTTTGGACTCAGGGGGGCCCAAAGAACACCACTCTGTTCATGCCCCAGGGTGCTGGGTTATATATTTGGGTTTTGTGGGTTAAAACCAATTGTTTGTCTGTATAATTGCACTTATGGTGTTATTTTATTAAATTGTTATTCTGACTTATAATCTCTCTTTTGAGTTGAGTTCATTTGCCCTGCTGGTTTACCTTTAAACCAGCACAAGCAGACACCACAATGTCTCTTTCCCTCCATCCCTGAAGCTCTACCACATGAGGCCCTGCTTTACTTCAGCTTCTGCTGCTTCTTCATTGGTTTCCCTCAAGTGCTGAATGTAGAGTTTAGAAGCCCATGCCCGTGTTTTGAAGGTGCCTGTGTGGAGGAGAGGTTGAGCAGCTGCAGCCCAAGGCTGGTGTCCCAGCAGAGTCTCTAAGGATGGTACCAGTGGTGCTGGCTGGGGACAGCTGAGTGTGGAAGGCGTGTCCAGCCTCAAGCAGGACCATTGAAGTCAGTCAGGATGTCAGGCTGCAGCTGAAGCTGCCAAGGGTTGCTGTGAGGCTGGGGAGTCACTGGAAAGCTGTGGTGGCCACTTGCCCTGAAGCCTTTTGCCAAAGCGGGTGCAATTGTTCCCACAGTCTGCCCACACACTTTTGGTGTCCTGGCGGGTGTGGGTGCCTGGGTGAGGAGGCCCAGGCATTGTGGGTGCTGCTGCTCCTGGGCAGCCTCTGGTGCTGTTGTCTGTGGGGCGCGGAGCCGCTTGGGCAGCAGCGAGTGCGCAGGCCTGCCCGAGGAGCCCAGTGCCCTGCCCGTGGTGGCAGCAGCTCTGCGGGCCCGGAGCTCTGGCTCAGGGGGTGTCATCCACAGCCCCGTGGCCTGGACAGCTGCGGGGGCCCGGGCTGGCCACCAGCCCTGCCTGTGCCACTGCCCCTCGCAGGCAGCACCCGGCAGACGTGCCCCGGCAGGGCCCCTTGCCCTCCTTGTCCCCAGCCAGACCAGCCTGGCCCCCTTGGCGGTGTGCCCACCCTGCTGCTGAGGACCGGCCTCCAGGGCTTCTGCCACAGGGCTGGGAGATGCCTCGGGAAAGCACCAGAGCAGCCGGCTGGCAGGGAAGGAGGTGGCTGCCTGGGGGCTGCTTATGGTCTCTGCCCCCCCC